TCTTGGCTGACATACCAGCGGTTTTCATTCTTGGAAGTGTTCCTTCTTGTGCAGCGACGCTGGCTGCTCCTGTCGATTGGGCTTCATCAGGCTTGCTAACTGAATGGACCTCATTCGGAGCCTGTTGCTCTGAAGTAAGAAGTAGCATAGCTGCAAGGTCATCCTGATCATTACCGAAGACAGAACTATCTATCGGTGACCGTTGGCGGAAGCTTGAAAAAGGTACAATATTGGGGTTCTGCGCCGAGCAGAAAGGCTGTTTTGCGGCGTCGTTTTCTGTCGGGTTAGCTTTTGCTGGGAAGGGCGAAGAGATAATGCTTGCTTGAAAGCTTTCTGCTTTGTAGATCACTTCTGTAGCCTTGTAGACATCCTTTTCTAGAATAGAACTTCGAGCCTTTGAGCCACCAACGCCCTGGTTTCCACCAGGAGATGGGTCCGGGGAGTCGCGGGCGGCATGTCTGCTAATAACTGTGCGCAAAGTAATTTCCAGGCTGCTCCATGCTTCCGAGGCTGGCTGATCAGGTGTGACAAGGCCCGCTTGACCCAGCGTTGCTTTCAGTTTGTTCATCCACTTCTCGGAATTCTGGACCCTTCTGAGTAGTGATTTTATCTCTTCTGCCGCCTTCCCTTTGCTGCATTCGAGGCCCGCCTTTTCTAACATCGTAGCCTTGAGCTGTGACTGGATAAGAACACACTCATCTTTCTTTCTCTGCAACTCCTTGCAGAGCATGTCATTTTTGCTTTGAAAATCCTCGATCGACTTTGATCCCTCTTTGCTGATTCTGGAGCATTCATTCTCAAGACTTGAAATCCGGTGAGCATCTTCTTCAATCTGATGCTGAAGAGATGTCTGCTCCGCCGCGCTCAATGACACGGCCTCTGTAAGTCTTGCTGATTCGTGCTTCTCCTCTTCTAGCTTGGATGTTTTCTCAGATAGGTCATTTTTGAGACACTCATTCTCCTTTTCTTTGGACCCAAGCTATACCAGTCAGCATCTTGACAGTAACAGAGTTCCACGCTTGCCTACCAGGAGTTCCAGTTCGTTCACTCGCTGCTTCATCATGTCTTCGCGCACTGTCTTTCTTGCATCAGTAGGTTTCTGCCCTCAATCGTATTGGAACTTACTCGATCTCGTCGTGTCTCAGCCAACTGCATGGACACCTTGCTGAAATTTCTCTCAACCTCGGATTTCCCTCGTAGGAGCTCATGGATTCGCTGGTCGTATCTTGCCCGATCCTGTTCTCGGGAGATAACACTAGCTCTACTGAGCTTTTTACGAACCCTTGCCTCCACCGACTTGACCTCATCCTTCAGTGTTGCTACTTCCGCTTCGTACCTCCGGATGCGACAATCGTCATCATCCACCTTCGCTGATGCAATTTCCAGCGACCCTCTCAATGCCTTATTTTCAAGTTCCTTAATTCTCAAGGCTTCCTCGGCCGACTTGGACTGTTCCGACAAACTTTGGATCTTACTCTCCATTTCGGCCAGTGTCTGCTCAAACCGGCGAGTCTCGTCTTTCAATATTTGTCTCTGGTCTGGTTGCTGCATCGCCGATAGTCTGGCTTTCAAAGCTGTAAAATGATCGAGAAGACCGCTTTCTCTCGCCTCTAATCCCTTCATTGAGACATTTATGCCCTCATTGGCGGCCGCCAATTCTCGAAGCGTGTTTCGCAAGCTCTCATTAGTGTCTGAATCTTTCGAAATATTTGCCACTAGCTGATTGTCGCTGACAATATGCTTCTCAATAATCTCCGTCTGTGCTTTCAGGCTCTCGGCCAGGCCTGCAGTTGCCTCAGTCCCCTTTCCGATACCAGCATTCAGCTGGTGCATCGCCGAGTCCATGCTAAAGCGCCTTGTTAGCTGATTGAAAGGGGTTTTGCTTATAATATGCAGCTTACCGCGCTGAGAAGGCGTGGATAATGTCTGTGCATGCTGCTACATCAGCCTTTCCTGACGAGATACCCTCCCGCAACTCTCCGAGTGAAGCTAGACAACCGCTGAAATCACCGCTCAGACCCTCTTGGAGAGACTTTATGGAAGCAACATGTTGATCGCCCAGACTTTTTAAAACGGCATCGAAACCTCCTCTGATCTCACGTTGATGAGACATAATCTTGTCCAATTGCATGGACTGGGCTCTGGAACAATTTTGAATGTAGACCTCAAGAAGACTTGATCGTTTCTTCTCATCCGACAGCTGCGTCAAAAGGTAATTTGATCTCTCCTCAGCATCTTTCAGACTTTGCTTGAGCAGGTCGTTTTGGCTCTCCACCTTTAAAAGCTCATCCCGTTTATGTTCAGCGTTGGTTGAAGTATTGGCTAACTGTGCTTTTGCTTCTTTTATGCTGGTGCTGATCTCGTTTCGCTCTACCAGCAACTCTTTCCTTGTTCCTTTGAGCTGAATAGCCTCGCCACGTAAATTCTGAAAGTCGCAGCCAAGTTCATTCAAGAAGCTTCTAAACTTCGCGAACTTCGACCTCCATGTTTCCATGCGGGACTTGTAGGCTTGGAGCTGAGATGATTGCTTCTGGATCTGCTGGCAGAATTCCTCCAGTTGGCCTTTCAGCATATTATTTTCCTCTGCCACTTTGGTAATCTTGGCCTCCATTTGCTGTTTGATCTTAGAGGCGACCATTGCACTTTTCTCGCGATCTCTGATGCGGTTGATTAGCAACTGGAATAGATCTTCTTCTGATAATTTGGGCTCTCCATCTTCAGAGCCACCAGTGGATGGGAGTCTGGCACTGAAGGTGCTTTTCTTGTTTAGACGGCGACGCTTTGTGATTCTTGATGTTTGGTTTGTAGCAACCAACAAATTTTGCTCGGTCGCTTTGCTTTGATGTTCACCAGAGATACTTGTGTTGGGTGCCTTGCTTCCATGCTCTGTCACCTCGTTTCTTTGGGTGTTCTAGGTTCTCGTTAGCGGGAAAGGGAGAGACTTGATTTAATCACTGCCTACCTTTCTGTGTTCCATGGAAGTGGTACGTGTGTCTTTATTAACAGGTCAGTGAACATCTCCTATATCATCGTGCTTCACATACCCGGCGCTGCATGTTCTGAGACTGCCTCTAAATCAGCGGACGAGCGTTGGCCAACTTGTGGTACGGAAACATCTGCAGAAAGCAAAGCGTGCGCATGCACCTTGCCCCGTGTTGTCTCTAAAGAGGTGACCGCTGGTGCTTGTGCTTCGAAAGATTCATGCTGTGAAACCAATTTCAGAGTACGTGTGCTGATGTTAGAGTTCGCTGGATATGAAGTACTGCTCATTCAAACGAAGGTTAACCTAGCACCCAGTGTCAGACATATTACTTACCTTTCTCTTCCCAGTCCCTTTCGAGTGACCAAGGACACATCCTTGCCACCATCGAGATGAGCATCAGCCCCAGGAGGCATGGTATTCAGGGAGGAGCGTCTTGCTGGCTGCAGGGAGAACAAATTTGGACCCTGAGTAGGCCGCTGGAAGCAAAAAGCTGACATGTCAATACCAGAACTCTGAGGGCGTTCCATGAGTAGTGGGGAAACCTGTCTGTTAGGTACGTGTCTCTCCTCCTCTGAGACCATAGTTGCTTCGAGCTCTGGCGGGAGGGGGTCATTTTGATCTGCCAAATGCAAGAGTAGCAATTCTTCCACCTCGTCATAGGTAGTCCCATCGGCGAGATCTGTAATATCGGGACATACTATAGAATCCGTCTCGGACAGCGGCTCTTGCTCGTTCTGCATCTTGACGCGACTGAGAAATTTGAACATCAGATCCTGGGTTTTCAGTGCATGACAAGGGAGGGGGTATATAATCACCTAGTAGATAAGAAACTGACTAGACTTGTAAGGATATGAGTTCCTAAGGGCGACAGCACAGAATATCACAATATAAGTTGCTGCTTTCACGTCTGTACTCTTAGTATGCGTTGTTCACCATGCAGTCTCCCTCAAATGGCCTGCAAGTCTTGTGAAGAGAGAGAAACGGGACAAGAAGTATACTGAGTGACCAAGAAAGATGACCCCTCGTGACTCGAATAGTGAAAATGCACAAACGGAAGCCAGTGACTGCCGAATCGAGCATGATAATGCCCTTTTGTTAATTCTACCGAGGCTAAATTGTGACTGCACAACATACTACTGATATTCGTCCATCCGTCAATGATACTGTTAACTACTAGTCATCGTGGTTTCAATATTAGTAGCCATGTAACTTCGCCGTCTTTGCTACCTTGGCCTCTATGAGAACCAGAATGTCAACCGTTGATATTTGGATCGGTGTCAGGTCAGAGAAAAGACTGTTGACCTACAAGGCCGACAAGGCGTCTCACCGGGCCAATTATGGGCTGGGAAAGATGGCACTGCCATCTATTCCAGACCTCAATTATCACTGCCCTATAATGATACCCAACCTATAGCTCTGCCATTCCCTGAAAGATCAAGGTCACAAAATTTCTCTCCAGAGATATGACATTCTGCAGAGCTAAATTTGGTGATGTCGCATTTGCTTTTTCTATAGCGCAGGTGTATAATTGTGATCATTCGTCCAAATGGTCCGACGCAGCCTCACTTGCGCCCGAGCAGATGCAGAACATTTGAAGACTTATGGAGCCCTCGTGCATCGGCGGCCAAGCCACCTTTACAACTGGACACTTTTCAAAGTCTATGCAGAATTGGTGGTTGCAGTTGGCGCCGATGTGCCACTAAGTCGAGTTCCGTGTCTCCGATTTGACGATTGCGTTTCACCCTCAAACCAGTGAAACTGCATGATCCCGGGCCCTCCCACACAGTCAAACACTCCAGCCCATCTTCAGGATTTAGGCTGTCACAGTTAAGCCTATCACGGAATAAAATGTCGTAGTGCTGCGTACACCAGCAAATTCTTCACAAATCTCGCACCCCTGATGACCTCATCGACTCCCATATATGATATGATGAGCACTCTTCCCATGCCTGACTATTCTCAACTAAACTTTTTATTTATAAGTGTTATTTATCGATCCAAAAACCTCTCGGCGTATCTCACATTTTGTACCCCAAGAATGATCGGCGTCTCCATGTACTCAATACAGCCTTTGTGGTTGGTGTTAAGTGTGCTATCTTCACCAGCGGTCGCACAAGGTATACTTAATAGTGTCGACAGCCAAGATGGAGATGGCGAATCAGAGTCATCTTCAACGACGCAAAATGTTTCCTCTAAAGGAATGATTATTTTGTGCACCATCGTGGCATTGGTGTTGGTTATCGGTGGTATGTCTCTGAGGATTGAAAGAGGTTCAAGAGTCCGTTAAGTGGTCGAACAGGCACTGACAATTCTGCTGTCATAGTGTTATTCACCGTTGTGTTCATTACCGTAAAGAAGAGGAGCTCGAAGACACCAAAGACATCCTCCTTACCAGATGAAGCAGCCACAGAAATCACGGAAAGATCGTTGAGTGGCAATACACCGACTGAAAGGGACGGATCTAGATCCGATACTCTGAAACACGAAGAGATTCAACCAGATATAGAGAAGAATGCTGGCGTTGATCCAAGCCGACCGCACAGGAATACTTGGATGAAGCAAAGAGGATGGGGATCCTACTTTTCTTTCGGGCGCGCATAAAGTCGTCTCACAGGAGCGATCCAGCCAAAAAATATATTTGATTGAGAGCAGCTCAGCGTGATGGCTTTCTTTCCAGTTATTGTATTTTTCATATTCTTTCTTGTCGTGCCATCATCCCCCCACCCCTTGATGTACCTTTGGAGGATACCCCGCACTCAGTAGATCTGAAAGTGAGTCCTATATGGGGTAGAAGCTTGAGAATCAAGGAATGACAAGAATGATCACACCGATAGTCACCCAGTCTGTCTGTAGGGGAGCGTCAATTTCATGGAAAGCCTTGCCCAAACAATGTTGAGTGGGGACGCCCCGCGGTGTGCTGCAGAGAATCATCCAATCAGTCGCACCAATTCCATGCTCCGTGGATGACGGCAAGTCTTTCCGTCCGGAGTGAGCAACTCCACCCGTCTTGGTTCTACACGACTGTCTATCGGAGCATGAATATCTCTCCGCTCCATTGCATAAACAACGCAGAAACCCAATTACTGCCCACCTACAGAGGGGGAAATATGGACTTGAGGTTGAAGAAGGAAATACTCCCCATCAGCATGGCTGGACCCAGGACAATGTACTCTGAAGCCTCCAGAACATATAAGGCCTCTGGATCTCGCCCAGCAGGTTTCATTTCAATCCAATCAACGAGAAATCTTGTGAATATCTTATATTGAATTATCAAAACCAATCTCACTCTTCTTCTTTATTTACACACAGAAATTCATCTCACAATGCCTATTCAAAAGCTCAAAGTTGGTATGGCTGGTCTGGGCCGGATAGGCAAGGTCCATGTCCATAACTTCCTTCACCAAACCCCACGGGCCGAAGTTGTCGCAGCCTTCTCCCCCGACCCAGCTGAGATCACATGGGGCAGACAGCACCTAGAGCCGTATGGAGTTACATTATATGACAACTACGACAAGATGCTGGAGCACCCCGGCTTGCAAGCAGTCGTCATCGGGACGGCAACCTCGGTACATGCCGAGGAGACCATGAAAGCTATCGATCGGGACCTGCATGTCCTTTGTGAGAAGCCATTGTCAATTGATGTGGAAGTGGTATGTCTCAAATATCTAATAAAACTGGATCGCTAGCCGTAGTTTCTCCTCCCACCCTTGCATATGGCTTACTCCTTGGCAGTGCAGAACAGTTGCGCAAAAGGCCAAGACCAAGCCACACTTGAAGGTGATGTGTGGCTTTTCTCGGAGATTCGATGACTCCTATCGCGAGGTCTACGATAAGATCAGCCAGGGCATGATCGGGCGTCCCTCCATCGTGAGAAGCCAGACTTGTGACAAGTACGACCCCTCGGGCTTCTACGTTGCTTACGCTGCGTGGTCGGGTGGTGTGTTTGTTGACATGTCTGTGCATGACATTGACTTGACTTTGTGGTTCATGGGGGAGGACTCGGTCCCCAAGAGTATCTCCGCCCATGGCATCACGGCTGTCCAGCCGGAGTTGAAGAAGTACAAGGACTACGACAACGCCGTCGGAATTGTTGAGTTTCACAATGGCAAGATCGCCTACTACTACTGCTCTCGAATGATGCCCCACGGACAAGAAGATACGACGGAGGTTATTGGCACCGAGGGGAAGCTATCTGTCAACATCAACCCACAACGCAACTTCGTCAACTACTACCACAATGGAGGCATCACTCGCGAGGTCCCCGCGAATTTCCACGGGCGCTTCGGAGGTGCCTTTGTAAACGAGGCGAATGAGTTTACTGCCTCTTGCTTGGATAACAAGCCACTGCCTCTTAAATTGTCCAACGCAGTCAAGGCTGTTGAGATTGGCGCATACCTTCAGGAGGCGTTGGTGACAGGGAAGCAAATCCACTTCGATGAGATCGGCAGAAGGATTGAGAAGTCTCAGTTGTAGGATGGATGGACTGAGTATTCAATCTGCTGCAAGCTTTGACTTTTACTCATATTGTTCGAATTTTAAAAAATATCTAAGGTGTTCAGAATACCTCGTACTGCTTCCTCACTCTGTATTGGACGTAGTAGATTAGTTCAATTAAGCTGGGGAAAATGGCACTATTCCAAAAACGGCATCCCCGCATTCCGCCGGGGCCTTTTAACCAGGGAGATCATCGAATCATCGACTCATGACAACCAGTCCGTCCCAGCGCTTCCATGGTATTTAGTCTGCAACGCGAGCAACATGGTGTTTATCACCGATGGTGTGACTGGCTCCACTGCGTCGTCAAAGGTCTCAGGGGACGAGCGGGTTCCTGAGCGCGTCTGGCCAGGCTGCCACGCCAGCTCAAGCTCCAATGACGAAATGCACGGCTGACGACGCCCACGATCGACGAGAGAGCTCCATCCAGCCAGCCAGGGGTGTCGTTTCTCCCCATTCAACTTCAACACTGGACTCCGCTTCAACCCCACTCTCCGTTTCACTTCTTCATCATCATCATCCCATTGCTTTCTTCCATGCTGGCGGACAGTAAACTCCCCATTATATTTGACTACCTCCACGGCTGGATCTCCGGGACGTAGTTACTTCAACATGTATCTAGACTTCTCCTTCTCCAAGAGCCTCGGTATTGGCTCGCTCACTACCATGCTTCTCTCCGCATTTTCACCACGAGAGCGTGCGCTCGTTGATCATCAGCCAGCGCTGCCTCCTTCCTATCCGCTGGCCGTCCGAAGTCCCTATCTCTCGACATGGATGCCCAGCGATCAGGTTCAGACGTTGCCGTATGCGGAGCCTCAGTTCTGGGCGGGACAGAGTCTCACCTGGTCGGTTATGGCTCGCGTCGATGGCCAGGCGTACAGTTTGATGAGCGTCAAGAATCCGGGCGAGAACATCCGTCCTGCTATCGTTCGAAGCGCCGAGTACACTGCGACCCATTCAGTGTTTACTCTTTCCGCTGGTTCGATGGTTTTCACTCTGGACTTTTTCTCGCCCATATCGCCCTCAAACTATCTGCGACAGTCCCTCCCTTTCAGTAAGATATCGTGAATTCAGCAAAGCTTATTGTATTTCAGTAACTGACCATTTGATGGGAAAGGCTATTTGACAGTTTCTGTATCGGAGGGTTCATCCAAGAACATCCAGATTTACTCTAGTATCGACGGAAGATGGACGGGCAAGCCGCAACACACTACACGTGGTTTCCGTGAGATCGGCTCCACGGCCGTCTTTTCCTTGGGGTTGAAGAATGGCGTCCCTTACTCTGAAGTAGATGACATGGCCACTTGGGGCGAGGCGATATTCGCCTCTCGTCCGACTTCCAGGTCCAAACTCTCCTTCTCATCCGGTAAACGTGGTGATGTGCGTTCTCAGTTTGTCAGTACCGGGAGGCTGGTCGACAACCGCCAGTCATGGGCTCCAGGAGGGATTGTAGCCCTTTCGCACGACTTAGGAAGGGTTGACAGCCCAGAATCAGTGACATTTGCCGTTGGACATGTGCGCGAAGAGTCCATTAATTACCTGGGCAAGCCATACACCGGTTATTACCGATCGCAGTACCCGGATAGCCACAACGCGGTCTCTTACTTCCTTGACGACTATGACGACGCTCTGCAGGAGTCCCGGGTGCTCGATACGGAGATGGCCAAGCAAGCCAAAGCAGCGGCAGGCCAGAAGTACGCCGATATCGTCACACTGTCGGCTCGCCAGGCGTACGGAGGGATAGAGGTGACCATTCCTAATGACACTCTGGACACCACCGATGTTCTGGCATTCATCAAGGAGCTTTCCAGCAATGGTAACCTCAACACAGTGGATGTTATCATGCCCGCCTTCCCAATTTACTACGTTCTGGACCCGGACTACATCCGCCTTTTGCTGGAACCGATGATGAGATACCTGGCTGCTGGCCGCTGGCAAAAGCCGTATGTAATCCACGACATGGGCAAGCATTACCCCAATGCCATCGGGCATGACGATCAGAAGGCCGAGCCAATGCCGATCGAGGAATGTGGAAATCTAATGGTACTGATCCTGGCCTACGTGCGAGCAACGGGTGACACCGAATGGGCCGCCCAGTACACTGACCTCCTGAGGGGCTATGCGGACTACTTGGTCGATAATGGTGTTGATATCACCAAGCAGCTGTCTTCCAACGACGCGGCTGGTGCACTTGCCAATGAGACGAACCTTGCCATCAAGGCGGCCGTCGGTATCAAGGCATTCGGCGAACTAACGGGACTTTCCGAATACTCTGAAATCGGCGAAGCGCGCGCGGATCTGTTCTTCACCCAGGGCCGTGGAACAGACGGGAATAAGACACACTTCGTGCTGCAATACCCCGACAAGCCAGCCTCGTGGAAAATTCCATACAACCTCTACCCAGATGTACTACTTGATCTTCAGACCTTCCCCAAAGCGGCATACGAAATGGGAAATACCTTCTTCAAGTCTGTTCGAGCTGAATATGGAGTTCCGTTGGATAACCGGCAAGACTGGGCCAAGTCGGACTGGAACATGTGGTTGGCAGGCACATTTGACGCCGACACTCGGTCTGAGTTTGTGGATGATCTTTGGAGTTTCATGACCAACGGAAAACACAACTGGCCGTTCTCCGATCGGTACGTTGCCACATCCGCCAAGGGACGGAGCCCTGGGGTGCCTGTGTTGTGCCGAGCTCGCCCAACAGTGGGTGGTCATTTTGCCCTGATGGCACTACAAGGGCCCAAATCTCTTCAGGCTGCTGTGTCGAGGCAGGTTTTTGGTGAAGGAGGCAACAAAGGAGGCAGTGGCAACCCGGAGATTCTTTTGAACCAGGGAGAGAATCTGTAGACTAGGCAAGAGACTCTTGTGTGTCGCAATATCAATTGTGAATATAGTACATATGATGAGGTAGATTAGAGGTAAACGGGTAATGTCGATCATTTCATGAATTAGCTGCTGTGCCAGTGCTGTCAGGTACTTTCCTGTTTGGGCCCGACTTGAAGTGTCACTTGGGCATTGTGTAGATTGGGCGAGATCTAGATAGATCGACCCTGTGGTGAATGAAGTCTAAGGAAACACCCGCTGCAGAAATTTTTCGAGTTACTCCGTAGATATCGACCCATTCACCTATCGGTGTTACTCCTGGTCCTAATTAGTTACTGCTACTTTTTTTCCCTAGTGGTTGTGGGTGTTGTTGTTGTTGTTGTCCCTTGCGCCCGTTTGCTGGAAAGCTGCCCCTGGTGCTTACATAAGCGAGGAGACATCACTTCGGCTGGCAGCGACTCTGAGTCTCTCTTTCGCCGTGTTCCAAACCGCCTCGTCGTGCTTGCTTCCTTCTTCCCCCCAGTCGTCTTTCTTCGTCTTCTTCCTCTTCTCTCGCCCCGTCTCTTTTCCTTCTCCTTCTGCCTCATCATCAACTACTCTTGACCTTTTCTTTCTCGCTTTTCCGACCTCTACTTCCAGTCCCTACTCATGGCTTCTGTAAGTGCTCCCTCTCTTGTTTCTGCCCCCGTATAGCTAAGCTGTGATGTGATGGCTGTCCAACGTCATGCCCCCCTCTGAATCCGCGCGTTGGCGATCCTCCAACGCGCTCAGATAAGATCTTGTCTTCCTCCGTGCTGACCTCATGCTCTTTTTTCCTTGTCTAGCCCCGTCCTCCACACAACTTCGGTCCTCAAGGCTATCCCCTCCCCAACGGTGCTGTTCCTTCTGGTCCCGTCCCCGGCGCCGCCCCTCTCCTTCCCAACAATGGTCGAATCATTCAGAATGGTCCCGTCAGAGTGCTGTGCATTGCGGACGTGCGAGGTATGTGCTCCGGATCTAGCTCCGGTAACGATCCCGGATTGGTAGACCCGATTGAGCTGATTTGGGAAATCTGTTTTGCTTTTTCCTCGGCGCAGGTAATCTGAAGTCCTTGAATGAGTTGGCCAGGCAGGCCCGTGCAGACCATATCATCCACACTGGTGACTTCGGTTTCTACGATGACACTTCGCTCGAGCGCATTGCAGACAAGTCAGTGACCTTCCCCGTCCCCCGATTCGTGAAGCTGCTTTCAGCCGCTAGAGAGCTTTCATGCATGATAAACATGTGACCCGATCGAACTAACACCAATCTGCATCTCGACGATTAGGACTCTTAAGCACGTGGCCCAATACTCTCCCCTGCTCCCCGAGAATGTCAAGCGCACGATCGCCCAGACTCCTCCCCAGCAGTCGATCAAGCAACGATTCACCCCCGATCAGCTACCCCTCTCAGAGCTTCCCATGCTGCTCGACAAGCGGCTCACCCTCGATGTTCCTGTCTACACTGTCTGGGGTGCCTGCGAGGATGTTCGTGTGTTGGAGAAGTTCCGTTCGGGAGAGTACAAGGTTGACAAGCTGCACATCATCGATGAAGCCAACTCGCGGCTACTCGACATTGGCGGTGTGAAGCTCCGTCTCCTGGGTCTGGGAGGAGCTGTGGTTATGCACAAGCTGTTCGACAATGGCGAGGGCAAGACTACTATTGCTGGTGGTCAAGGCACCATGTGGACAACCCTACTGCAAATGGGAGAGCTGATTGACACAGCAAACCGTGTATACGACCCCTCAGAGACCCGGATCTTCGTCACGCACGCGTCGCCGGCTCGTGAGGGCATGCTGAACCAGCTGTCGGTCACGCTCAAGGCCGATTTCTCCGTCTCCGCTGGCTTGCACTTCCGTTACGGCTCGTCCTACAACGAATTCTCCGTCAACCCCTCCCTCGACCACTACCGGGGCAAGCTCGCCGCTTCCAAGGCTTCCTTCAATGATGTGTGGGAGACTGTCCGCGGCGAGGTCGAGGCCGCCATTTCGCAGAACGAGGCTCAGAAGACTTTGCTCGACAATGCCCTGGAGGTGGTCACCAAGATGCCTACCGTTGCCAACGGTGGCAACCCGTTCGGTGGACCTGCTGCTCCCGGCAACGCAGCTGGCCAGGTCGACGAAAGCGCCTTCAAGAACATGTGGAACTTCAACTTGGCGGACGCAGCATTCGGCTTCTTGGTGCTTGAGATCGAGTCGGGCCGCATCGCTACCGAAATGCGCGCTCAAGGATTCAACTTTGCCCACCGTACTGGCAAGCCCCAGCCCGCTGGCCCAGCCCAGCCCGCTCCCGTCCCCGCTGGCGCCCCCGCTGGAATTGCCTCGCCTCGCGTTCCCGGAGCTGCTCCCCAATTCGGTCAGGCCCAACCTGTTCCCGCCCGCACGGGTCCCCTTCCCCAACAGCAGGCCCCAGCTCAGGCCAAGGCTCCCGCCGCCGCTCCCGCTCGTACATCCCCCGTTCCCGTGATTCCTAAGCCTGCTACGCCGCAGCCTGCCGTGACGTCCCCGGAGAGAACCACGACCACCGAGGCCAATGGTACCGCTCAGCCTGAGAAGCCCTCCGAATCTCCGCTGCCCAAGATTGAGAAGAAGCAGAGCAACGGCCTCTTCGTCTCGAACGTTGAGAATGAACAAGCTGTGCGTGATCTCTTCCCCGAGGAAGACAAGGCCAAGATCACAAAGATTGAGAAATGGGGCAAATACAACAACCATGTCGTCCACTTCGCGACTGTCGAGGAGGCCAAGGCTGCTCTCGATCGCCAGCCTGCCGAGCACAAGAAGCCTACCCCTGCCGGTCAGCCCCGTAAGCCCAACATCAAGTTCTTCGAAGACCGGGGCAGCCACCGCGGCAATGCCGGTACATGGCAGAGCAGCAACCGTGGTGCCAACGCCCCCCAGCGCGGGTACCAGAGCGGAGGTGCCAGTGACAGCGAGACTAACCGCGGACGTGGATTCCGTGGCCGAGGTGGTGCTGGCCGCGGCGACCGGGGCGGACGTGGCGGCCGTGGCGGTCGCGGTGGGTTCAACAAGGGAGGTGCTCCGACTTCAGACTCGGGACCAGGCGACAAGCCCGCTGCAACTGGAGGCGACGCTTGATATGTGTGATTGCGCCTGATTCCCCGTTCTGATTTCATGTCCACCTTTGTTTCTCCAATTCCCCCATTCTATCTTTCTTTCCGAAAGTGTTATTTTCTACCCTCAGCCATCTCTTCTTCCTGTCCAATGTTTTCATTAATCTCACGCTTTTCGATCGGTATTTTAATTTTCTATTGTTGTGATACTTGCTAAATGACGTCTTTTTCTCTTTTCACCTTGTTCTTGTCCTTTTTCAGCGAGATGTGCGTCAAACTTCTTTTCCCATTCATCTTCCTCTTTCCTAGTAGACACTTCGCGCTGGCGACGGGATGAATCGGTTACTTTAACTGCTCAATTCCATTTCCCACTCGGATCTTTAGGACCCCAGGAGTCGTTGGTGCGGATCCGAAGGCAGAAGCAGAGGCGGAGACAGAGAGACTCAAGCGGAGTTGCAAGCAGAAGCAAGCGGAGGAGGAGAGGTGGGTGTGTATGTGTGCTATCGAACTTGGTATGATATTATGGTCTTTGATTTTGTTGGGTGGCCGCGGGAAACGGGAATACAAAAAGCGAAGGGATATTTTATCTGAGGTTACTTTGCGAAAAACGAAAAAAAGAAGAAACAAAACCACAAAACGGCCAACGGCGAGGATTCTTTTGTATTCTATATTCTCCTGGAACGGACCAATATCGATACCCTTGTAACTTCATGCGGTTTGTCTACTACATACTAAGTAGCGTTCTATCATCTGATAATATCCTAGTAGTAGTGATAGTAGTAGGTAGTACTACAGCTATCGCCAAGGGTGTTCTGGACAACATTGACTGAACAACGATGTTGCAAAATAGTCTACGAATTAACTATCTGTTAGTACCCCAATACTGCAACTTTACCGCGACGGGCGGGGTTTGTTGACTCTCTCAGACTGCGCTGCCAGGATATATATTCCGGGCGGGTATGGTGGTCTGGCACTAGTAAGTAGTACATCGGCAACAACTGAGTCTTGAAGCTTTAAACTTCATTACAATGGACACTACTAGTAGGACTAAACTAGCCAATAGTATGACTGTAATGCAACGGATAGATGTTTGAAGAATCAATGAGGACATCAATTACTAATATGTAGGAGGACTATCGGAGAAGAGAGAACTGGCGTATTATTACTTCATGACTATACAGAGATACAACCTCACCCATAGACATACGCCAATTACGCCCAGATAGAAAAGAACCCTTTCGCATATTTCCAAGGGTAGGTAGGTAGACAGATAGATTGACAAAGCAATATATCACTCGAAATCCCCCAGCCACCCAGCTTTTTTGAGTACATGTGTGGTGTGGTGGGCTGAAAGATCAAGAACCAGCGGTGCATATACATAGGAACAAGCACGCAACCCAAGTGGTAAGATAAATGAACGAAAGAATACTCCAACGGTGATGGTGTACAGTCTGCCAACCCGAAGCTTCCTATATTGCATTAAAATTTTCCTGTGCAAACCACGCCTCCTGTTCGCCTGCAGTGGTCTTCGTGAAAGAAAGAAGAAGATAGTAGAGAAAGTACAGTCATAAAAGTAGATGGAGAAATGTAATATGTGTGGGGGAGGTTATTGCCTTGCTCCAAAAGTCTTTCCGTGAAAAATTGTCCAATCGGAAATTGCGGTAAATAACCTGGAGTACTCCGTGATTTTTCACTTTGGGTTCGTGTGAAAAACCTCCCATATCCAATATTCCCTTTTGTCGTAACGGCGTCAACAACAGCTTTGCATTACATGTATGGGTATCTGAAACGCAGAATGATGGCAACGAGGGCAGTATGCGGCGGGCAGCGCAGGTGCGAACTAACTTATTGTTTCCCCTCGCTTGACTATTTCGCCCGCCCCATGATGTCGTCAACATCTTGCTGGTTGACGACCACACCGCCCTCCGAACACCGCGCCTTCATGCGTAGTTCGGAGCAAAGATGATCGACATCGAGCTCTCCGTTGCGGAATCTCTCCATGGATTGCAGACGATCCCTTGAAATAAAAGATGTTAGTACAGAGGTAATTATTGGGGGGTCCAACAGGATAATCATACCATATCTTCGTGCAACTCAGCATCTGAGACTTATCTTCTCCAGGCACAACCTCTTCATCCAACTTGCTGTCGATATCTGCGATCAAGTCTTTCTTCGGCGGTTGTTGGGTGGCCGCTTCCGTGAGGTTGTGTGAAGGGCTTCCCAGATCGGGCAGGGGGAAGGCATCGTCAAAGAATGTTCCAAAGTCCTGAGACAGGATTGCATCCTGAGGCTCACGCCAGTCTCCGAAGAGAACGGGATCGAACTGGCCGCCGTTCTGCTGAGCAAGCGTATCCAGACCCGCAACATCCTCGTGGGGAGCCTCCTGATTAGGGGTATTTGACGCGCTTTGGCTGTTATGCCGGACGGCTGGAATGGGGTTATTGATATTGCCACATGCCATGCCAAGTTGCGCGCAGAAGGATTCCTCACCATCGATGGTGGTATAAGTGCAGCCATCATGAGCACCGTGGTGGTGATGAGCCTTAGTAGCAGGAGAATTAATAGTGGGTTCTGGGGATGTGCCGTTGGACGAAAGACTCTGGCTCTGGTGGGAATCGGACGAGGAGGATGGCGAGTCAGTTGTAGAGGAATCATGCGTAGAGGTGGATTGAGCCGTGCCGTTGTATAAGGACACCTTCGGAGTGGACTTCCTCGTGGACGCAGGAGTGGAACCCTGGTGGGACACGGAGCTGGGAGTCCTGCCCGCGGGCGCACCGTTGGACTGAGCACTGCTCAGAGAGTTACGGCTCACAACACCGGGCACACGGGAGTCATTACGCGACGTTGCTGTTGATGGCTCTCCTTTAGCACTCTGCTGCGCCTTGGACAATTGGCCGTTATTGAAAATGTGGGAGCCCGGAAGATCCCCGAACTTGGGGAAGTCAAACATGAAATCATTGTTCTGAAGGCCATACGATCCCTTGTTGGGATAGGCTCCGGGGATGGCATTCATGGCAGAGACACCAGTTCCCGTGGTCAGCCAGGAGAGACGCTTGCGATACTCTTTCAATTCGACTTGCAGGCGGTCGATTTGAGCACGGAGCAACCCATTTTCCTGGTTCGCGTTGTCAGAAGCCTTTTGCAGCTCATCTACCTTCGTTTCCAGGTCCTTCAAATGTTTCTCCTTGCGTTCACGGAACGCTCGCTGCGCAGCCCGGTTCTGTGCCTTCCGCTTCTGCGAGTTTGTTAGTGTCACGGGACTCTCGGCGCCCACATCGCGATAACCGAGCATACGTACCGAGGTTGGCTCGGAAGTCAAGGGCTTCCTTCCTGGCTTCTTTGCCGCCTTTTCATCGCTTTCTCTTCGCTTCTTGCCGGAAGCTTCATTCTCATCCGCATCGCCATCGATGTCCTTCCTCTTCTCTCCCGGCTCGGGTTCCTCCGATTGCGGCAGGCTCTCGGGAAGATCACCAATCAAGTTCTCGGAGCCTTGAAAGTCAAAATCCAGCTCGGGGTTGAAGTCCAGGAAAGGACTTTCATCATCGCCATAACCCAGGCCACCCGAGTGAGGGTTAGAGGGGTCGAACGCAGGACTCATATTGTAACTACCTGTGGTTGCAGGGGTAGACTCGGGGTCTGACTTGGAAGCCGGGGGGTGGGAATTATTTTGCTGTTTTGCGGGCGGATTGTTGGAGGAGAGAGCAGCGAGGAGGAGATCTTGCTGATCTGGCGACAGGTAAAGACCGTGCTGATAGAGGGAATTGTAGTCGGCCATTGTGTTCAGAATATCGCAGTCGACAGTGATAATTAGAGCGGGAAGGTGTTGAAGCTGTGGGGAAGTGTCAAGTGTTGCTCAACAATGGTGATCTCCAAGTAATGGTAGATTCGATGAAAAGCAGGCCGGGCTTCCCGCCCGTTCGTTGTATCGATAGGTGGCCCCCAGAGATGGGTCGAGGAGGAGGGGTTCCGGTACGATGACACCGGCAGAGACCAGAGGAGGGGCACAATATTATTTTTTTTTTGACGACTGAAACAAACCACCGACAGCTGTCACGTCACCGTGAACTGCAAGTAGAGTTGTTGGGGGAAGCAATCTGAGTCTGGAAGTCTCTAGAAGGTGTTGGGGAGACGGGGTGTTGCGGGAGAAGTGAGATTCGGAAGACAGATGAAGTTGATGATGACAATGCGTGAAGGAGAGGCGCAAGGCAGGCGAGACGCACAAGCCGCAGAGAGGTCTGTCTGACGAGCCAAAACGGGGCTAAGGAGAGGCAGACTAAAGACGAATCACAGGTCGTGAAAGAGGACAAGAGGGAGGGGAGAGGGGCTGGTCAGTGAAAGGAAAGATGGGAAGAGGAGGATGATGCAAGATGGGTGAGAGGTAGGGGGATGCAGTAGGGCGAAAGAATGCGAGACCCGTCGTTAAGGGTCTAGCCGAATGGAACGAAATTGTGGCACCGGGTAGGGGGGAAAGATTGGTTCTTGATGCGGGTTGGAAGAAAGGAAGAGGGGGGGGAAGAGAGAGAGAGCGTGAGAAGAGGAGAAGGAAGAGGAGGCCGTGGATGGAACAAGACAAGCCTAGTAGTGAGTAGTACTAAGAGAGAGGGCAGATGGAATGGAATCTTCGACTGAACTAAGAGGGGGGCGATGGCCTCGAGGGGCGGTGGATAGAATGGAAGATGATGATTGGCTACAAAACCCTGCAGAAGGCAAAAAGTGTAGCCTGAGGTGTTCTGCCGGTGCAAACCTCAGGCTGCAAGTGGGGAAGCCAGTGACTCCTGCTTAGAAATCCAACCCGAAAAGCCTCTTGCGATTTATTCTCTCTTCGCCCATTTGCTTCTCTACCACTTCGGCATTGCTTGGTTCCTTGGTTGGTCAACCTCTTTACAATCATCAACCTGACGATGGATTTGACTCTCGCAGCACTCTTCAGCCTGAAACTGGTACGAGGCACTAGTATTTAGTCTCTGCCTCCTTTCTAGCTAGTCTATCTACGCCATCGCTAGATAGGTAGATGTCTGCCCCCCTCCCTGGCAAAACCGGGACCGTCCTTTGTCTGGACGATGCTACTCCGTACTAAACGAACCGATCGACTGTCTCACCCAAGAAAAGTGACTCATGGGGCGCCACTTTTCTCGGACGCGGACACGGGTTCTTTCCTTCGCCGTCACCTCACCGCCCCCCAGCTTCAGTGTTAAGACCAGACAGACCCTCCGACTTTCGGTGCTCATGCTGATGCCTATCACTCTGCGATTTCGGATGCCTCGGAAGGATTACTGTATTCCAAATAGTTGCCCGTCAACCGCGTGGTTTCTCCATATGAGTATTGTAGCAGCTAGGAACTATCTCGAGTGCACCTCGTAAGCCGGGGATAACCTAGATTATTTGGCCAGAGCTCCCCTACTCTCGGTCGAATGCATGGCCACCCCGACCGATCACAACCGGGGCAAGCGGTGTGAAACCCACTAAGGGATCTGGATCTCCGATGCTTAAGGTTTAGCCTATGGCGACGAGTAGTCTGCCACGGCTGACGAGTCCTAAGATTGGATGGCCATTGATCTCCCCGCCCTGTTTTGACTGCTGGACTGCCGCTGCCGCTGCCCCATCAGTATCAACTGTTGCTGTAGCCTGTAGCTTGTAGCATGTGGCATGTGACATGTAGCCTGATAACGCGGGTTGGACGGACACCTGGCAGATCTCGGGCCAATTATCACCCCCATCGGTTGGCCTTTGTTCCGCAGCCGAATGACGTGAGGATCGACTGTGGAAGCGGACACCAACCAGGTGTTGACCCGTTGACCCGTAGCTTAGATAGTGGATGCGGGCGTGGCCTGAGATCGGAGCTTTTCTGGACTTCGGCAGCCTGTCTTTAATGTAACCGTGGGGAAGTCGAACCGGGACTAGATAGTGACCGGCCCAAGCCTGAAGTTGCAGGAATTTATTGCTACTTTGCCATAAGCGTTAGCAACCCAGAATGTCCACTAGTGAGTTAGTGATGAATGGTACTTTGTCGCAGCAGGAGCGAGCGAACGCAGATAACGGATAAGTTAAACATGTGACTTGCGCCCATGCATCTGTGGCGGTGCGAATACACGTGATAGTAACGAGCCGCAACGGGGCCCCCGCCACAGCCCAGTCTTATCCCCAAAGGCGACTTCTTCTTATCTGCAAAACCTCAGATTTGCTCCAGCCCGACCGCCACTCCACCCCAACGACTGCCATCATCCTGCGCACTCGCCATTCTTTCATCCTTTGGTTTCCCGCAGGACTTAATTACCTTCTCTCTTTACTACTTTTAATAACACAACAATGTCGGACGTCGCTGCCCTGGAGGCAGAAGTCAAGGAGTTCAAGCTCCAGGTACGCGCCTACATACCCATCACCGTCCGTCCGTGACTAACCGTCACTCTCCCAGCTTGAAACCGTCCAATCGAGTTTGCAGGTAGACCCAGACAACACGGAATTGCAGAGTCTCAAAACTGAGCTGGAAGAACTTATAAACCTCACCGAAACATCCATTGCCGAACTCAAACCTCCCGCGCCTCCCGTGTCTCAGCCGCCGGCGTCCGCGGCCAAGGACAACAGGGCCAAGGATTCTTACGCTTCTCAACCAACATACCGCAAACCGACGGTCGAACAAACGGACGAACCGTCAACTCAGACCTCCTTTTCCGTCAACGAGCACGTTCTCGCCCGGTGGGTGTCGGGCGACAACTCGTTCTACCCAGCGCGTATCACCTCCATCACCGGCTCTGCGAGCAACCCCGTGTATCTCGTCTCGTTCAAGTCCTATGGGACGGTGGAAAATCTAACCTCCAAAGACATCAGGCCCATCTCCGGCAATGACTCGCGAAAGCGCAAGGCTGATGCAAGCTCAGGCAATTCCTCATCACAATCACCGGCGCCGCCGCCGCCCCACTCGAGCGTGATCTCCGCCGCCGCGGACATTAATCCCGCGTTGGCCAACCAGGCGCGTAAGGAGCCGAGCAAGGTGAGCGATGGGCCGGCGCGCCCGGCCAAGGTGCCCCGGAAGGTGAAGGCTACGCGGGAGCTCGAGGCGGGCAAGATGAAGTGGAAGGATTTTGCCAGCAAGGGTAAATTGGGTCGCAAGGAGAGCATGTTCCGCACGGGCGATGGAGTAAATGCCCGAGGTGAGTGGACTCTTCCGATAGACCACGTGCGACAGCACACTGACTGCAATAGTGGGCTTCACTGGCTCTGGCCAGCAGATGCGCAAAGACCCTGGACGTTCACGACACGTCTACCAACAGGGCGAAGAGGAAGGCTACTAACTGGGCCTCAAGATGGATGGGGCTTCACTCTGTTATTTTTCTGTCCCTACCGTGTGTCACATCGCTAACGGGCTATGGTGTCAGATCTAGTGAAGCGAGCCAGTCGTACATACTATAAAATTTTGATATCCAGACGCATCATCGTTAATGATGTGATGCGACATTGTAGTAACTTTATGTTCATGTCTAGTTTTGGATCACTGTTCTGTTTGTAGCGTGCCATCTAGCTGGAAACCCTGACGATGATCAACTGCCACTCGCCCAGCTACATTTGGAGTGACACCACGGAATCGTCATCCGTTTACGCCAGTAGTATTATAGCGCCCTTTTGCTCTCCTCGATCACTTGGAAGTCGGTCTCAACCATGATTCTGCCTTCTTCACTCTCGTCTTCCCTGCGTTTGGAGTCCATCTCGACTCGAACAGTCTGTGTTGCAAGCAGACTTTCGTCCCAATCCCTGGGCCTCCTCACAGGGGCGTTCTTATGTTGACTGGATAGTTTATTCTCCGAGCTACCCAGATATCTTCCCGCACGCGAGCCGAATATCCGCTGAATGGTGTAACGCAGCAGGGGTTGCAAGGTAGGCAGACAGGCACAAACAATCCCGATGCACGGCTCCACACTGGACCAGATGAAGACATCACCCATGATCCAGGTGATATCCACGGACCTGCTAAGAAACGTCATGTAATAGATTCGAATGAGACTCGCCACGCAGACACTGCAAACAACGTTTTTGTATCAGTTTCCAGACAGGATGAGACATGGGAAGGAAAAGGCGGGGTTCAGCACGACATACAAGCTGCCAAGTAGAAAAATGCTGCAGACCAAAACCTTCTGGGTGGATCGCATGTGAAGCCTCCAGATAAGTGGCATGGGCACCAGCAGAATAATCACGTCCGTGGTCACATTTGCGGCGGCGTTCCCAATATAGAATGGATAAAGATTGTAGACGCAACGGCCGCCAGCGGGATCAGCATACTGCGTCCAATAGTATGAGACAGGTCGGCAACAGACGAGGAAGGCGACGGTGCAAGAAAACCAATATCCGATGGTCAATGCGACGCAGAACCACATCGCCTTGTTCATTCCAAAAATGCGACGGTAGAAGAGGATGACCGAGAGCTTGATCAAGGGCACGGTAACGACGTATATGAGGACATATGCGAACAGAATCTGCACCACCTTGATCACATCGTCTAGGGGTATAGCCCATACATGCTTTCCAAGGCCATAGTAGCCTCCTGAAGATGGCTGGTCAGTACGCTTTCTTCGTGTTTGTTCTGGCGAACGAACCGATAATGGTGGAGACAAAATTCGCAGTCACAGACAGCTGTAGCCATTATGATCATCAGTATCTCCATGCTGTGTCTGAGGAATGCTCACAAGTACGTACCAAAGCAGCAACTATCATCCAATCATCCGCGGCAATGGAAGCTTGTTGCACCCGCGTTCTGGCGAGAAATCGAAAGGCAATGGCGATGGCCGCCAGCACGTATGTGACACTCACAGCTGCATTGTTCACTCCACGCCGGCTGGCTGTCAAGTCCGTCCCTGGTGGAGGATCCCCGAAGACGCTGCTGGACATGCCTGTTGCCACTTGCAGAGGAAGACATATCGAGTGGACTGGAATGTACCACCGGGCCCTTAAGATAGAAACCAGGTTTGACACACGACCCTGTTAGTAATAGGCCGCAGTGCATCTAGTGAGCCAAACCCGTCAATCACATTCAAGTCCTTGGATGTGGCACGCCGCTAGGATGCTCTAGCGATCCTTCCAGCCCCGGCCCCCAAACCAGGCGGGCCGGCGGGTCCGCGTCTTTGACAGCGGGTGGCTTCACTCCCGGTGCCCTTGCCATCTCGAAGGCTCAATCTGGCCGTTTTGACATCAAATTCCTGCGAGATTTAACGTCTGACAGGTCTAGGATCCTACCGCCAACGCAAGTTTCTTTCAATCACCTCCCGCGTCGCACGGTATTGGCAGACTCGCTAAATGGATTTGGCGCTAATTTATCATCCTGCGAATCAATCGGGCCTGTAGACTTACCCATTAGGGTAACCACTAAGTTAGGCCGGCCGTTTAGCTGCTGATACTAGGAGGCTACGGCCGGGGGAAAACCGGAAACCAAAGCACTGCGAGGATATCATATATTTAGTAAGGAAGTCCCGTGTTTCGAATCCTTGGCTATTGCGAGAGCAAACCTGCGTGTCTGCAACCCCTCTCGCAAATTTGAGGATTTCTTTGCCATCACCATGCCATCCAGAGAGTCCGTTCCTTCTGAATCCACGGCACATGCTGTAGATCCCAGGCGATTTGCTTTCACTCCCCGAAAACTCAGAGTCGTCTGCATTGGAGCGGGCTTTTCGGGACTGATCCTTGCACACAAGCTTAAGCACGAGCAGCCTCTTGAGTTTGTCGACTTCACCATATATGAAAAGAATCCCGAGGTAGGGGGTACTTGGTTTGAGAACATCTACCCTGGTGTGGGCTGCGACGTGCCTGCTCACAGTTATGTATTTCCCTTTGAGCCCAATCCGTCCTGGTCGCAAAGCTATGCCAAGGGCCCGGAAATCGAGGAATACATCCGATCAACAACCGAGAAGTACGGGCTGAAGGAGAAGATTGTCTTCAACACCCGACTTGTCAAGTCTGTTTGGAACGAGGAACGGGGTAAATGGGCCCTGGAGCTCAACCAGAACGACACAACTGTCTACGATGAAGCAGATATTCTCATCAATGCCGCAGGCATCCTCAGTCGGTGGAAGATGCCCAAGATTGAAGGTCTGAACCGGTTTGAGGGCAAGCTCCTCCATACAGCGGGCTGGGATCCGGCCTACGACTGGTCCGGCAAGAAGATCGCTGTCATTGGTAACGGCTCCTCGGGGATCCAGATTGTGCCTGCGCTGCAGCCCAAGGCAGGCCGGATCGTCAACTACATCCGCCATCCAACATGGGTGTCGGTCAATTTGTGCCCGGACACGACCAGGGATGGAATGGGTACCAACTTCGTATACACCGAAGAAGAAAAGGCCCGATTTCGGGATGACCCTGAAGGTTTTCTGGAATACAGGAAGTTCATCGAACGTTCGTACGTTAACATCCACCCATTAGGCGATCTACTACTAACCTCTTACGCACAGAGTCAATACCGTCTACAAGCTGATGCTCAAGGGATCCGAGTACAATCAGATGCTATACACAGCCACAGAACAATTGATGAGGCAGCGTCTCAGCAAGAACCCACACCTCATCAAGAAACTAATCCCCGATACTGCTATCGGATGTCGTCGTCTCAGCCCCGGAGACGGATATCTAGAAGCCATGCAGGAGCCCAACGCAGAGTGGTGCTTTGATCCCATCGAGAGCATCACCAAGGCTGGCATCCAGACCGCCCAAGGTGAGGAGGAATTTGACCTCATTGTCTGCGCCACGGGTTTCGACACCACCTTCATCCCTGGCTGGGAGATGGTAGGCCGGAACGGTCGTCGGCTCGCTCACGACTGGAAGACGACACCCGAGGCATATTTCTCCATCTGCTGTCCTGGCAGTCCCAACTATTTCATGTTCGCCGGGCCTAACTGCCCTATTGGTCATGGAAGCGTCCCTCAAATGCTAGCCTGGACTGCGGACTACATTCTGCAGTGGGTGAAGAAGATTGCCCGAGAAGATATTCAGTAAGCCTCTGACATACCTCCCATGACACCCCCACAACGACTTATAATGTCTAGCTCCGTTGTCGTAACCGACTCCGCAAACCAGCTGTATAACCGCCATGTCCAGGCAAACCTGAAACATACCGTCTGGAGCTCAGGCTGCACTGCCTGGTATAACAATGGCTCGGCTGTCACGGCCATGTATCCTGGCAGTGTTCTTCACTTCAAAGGTAACCCAGCCTTGATCTATACCCTAGGAATTCCATCAAGTGTGCTAACACGTACGATAATTGCAGAGGCCATCTCTACCATCCGCGGCGAAGACTTTGATATCCGCTACCAAAATAGCGCTAACTCTTTTGCCTATCTTTCTAATGGTGAGCTGGAGTGGGAGAGAGCAGAAGGGGCGGATTTGGCGTTTTATTTGAAATAGGCCTGTATTGGGTGGACTACTTAGTAATATCATGTATATGAATGAATGATGAGACTGGAAATGGTGTTTCATTAGTAATTCTATCCTAATATCCTAGTGGCCTATTGAGGAAGTTCCATGAAATATGATGAATACTCAGTCGACACGGCCTATTCTCACTAGTTGTACCGCACCCCTCCCCTTTGACCCTGACATCCACCACAACCGCAGCTATAGGGTCCATATTTAGACTGAGTGTTATCTCTTTTCTTTGCTTCTTCTACTCCAGAATCAGTTATAGCGATCCTGCAATATCAAGCGTCTAAACTCCGGTCCTCAGAAAACCCTAATCTGGTATGGAGCATACAAGATACGTTGATACTCCGAAACCAATCAAACTTTACCCCTGAAGCTCTCCGCTACCCGCCCACACCCTATACTTGACAAGCACATAGTATCAGTTCTGGCACGGTTGAAAACGGTCCGTTACTTCTATACTCTGACAAGTATATTCCTAAACTTTCGTCTTCTACACACCGTACTGCTCAGATACCAGACTCGCTCATAATCCCTACACCATTCGTTCTATCCTATTTGTATATCCCGCCTCTCCTACATTCCTTCAGGCCATGGTGGTTATTGGGTTGATTAGGCCCGTAAAATAAACCCGTGACAGTCTGGTTCGCTTGGCTAGTTAGGCTACCAACTACTAGGCCAAAAGAGATATCCCTTTGAATTTCGGCATAGCTGGGGAAGATATTGTCCCATGAAGTTATACTAGGGCAGTATATCAACCCACTGTAATTGGAGAAATAATCAGGGAAAATTTAAGGGTGAATGAATCAATGACCATAACTCGATTATCCTTCTGACTTGATTGTTGATTATTGGGCATTGTTGATCAGCTGGGATAGTCGGGAGTGTTCCACGGTTCCGCGCCTTATGAGTGACATTGGTATACGCCCTGCGTTTCCCGCGACTAACCGCTACCTCACCGGCGTAGAGTCCGATTCCCATAGATCAAAATAAAATTATTCAACCAATTAGAGCTTTGAGGAGCCATTAATATTCCTCTCCCACTGCCCATCAATGCTCAACCGTTCATGATGAGGCACTCCCTCCCACGCCCTGCGAAACGTTGCAACCCTCGACTCCCAATCAGATAACCTCTTGTCCATAAACGCCGCGCTAGCTTCAGCAGTTTCTTTTACCAGCTCCATTGGAAACATATGACCAGAGGGTAGCACGACTTCCTCAACAAGTCCCCGCGCTGCACCCCCACTACCTCCCAGACCCGTACCAGTTGTTACCACTTTGTCCCGACGAGCAATTGGAGAAGACAGATCCGACTGTTCCCCAAACAGATAGAGAATAGGTGGCTTCAAATGTGGCAGCCGACGAAACATCCATGCCGACTCAGGTCGATAAAAAGGATAATCAGCATCATGGTCATCCGGATGCATTTCCTCTTCAGGGTTACCGCGGGGAAGTCCGGATCGCTCGTCAACATACGAAGGCCGTACGAAGTAGAATAGCTCCTGTGCCTTGGTTGTAGTCAAAGTAACGGCGGAAGGTCCAGTTTCGTCTGTGACGGGGTGTAATGGGGTCGGAAGGTCTCGTAGCCCGTACTGGATCCATTTGTCGAAGACGCGGGGATCCTACGTTCGATAGAATGGATTTGACTTGAATTTATCTGCTGCTTGCTCGCGTGAGGGCCATATGTCTCGTCTATAAGTAGATGTCTGGGCGAATTTGCGGCCTGGGTTTTCGCGCTGTATCACCGGGTCGAGCAGGATAAGACCCTCGAATAGGGATGGATGCAATAAAGACAGGTGGGCTCTGGATTATCATCCATGAGAAATGGGCGCTTTGAGCGGATCGAGCATACTCACAGCTGCATTCCACCCATACTGTGACCGACGCCAACAAGTGGTTGAGGGATCTGGTCCTGAAGCTGATTTATCACGAACAGAAGATCACGCCCGTGATCGAGCCAATTGGCTAGATTGGCGTCAAAGAATGTTCACACGGCTTGTGCGGTGCGGGACGAGAGCTCACGATCATGGCCTAAGATGGCTTCATTTAAAACACCACTCTGTCCCTGTTGAGCAACATCTGCAATCCAAATTGATCGGATGCGTCTGTTTTGACTTGCGAGCTGCTTGTGAAGGTCATCCCAAAGGGGTTCGTACAGTTCCTTATGCACAAGTTAGTCATATTGAAAATTCAAATGTAAGGAGTTGACTCACCTTTGGAAACGCATTTGCATGCGCCCCAATAATAGTGACATCCCCTTCCTTCGGGTGAGGATTATCGAGTGGGATGTACTGCTTAACAGAAAGTCGCAGCTCGTTTTCATGACCAGCTTTCACGGCACCCGGACGCTGTCGGACATTTTGACACCGAGCTGTGTGCTCGACGATGCGAAAGTGGGACATGTGTTTTCTACGAGGCTGTATGACGCGTAGGCTGATTGATTGGAAGCCCTTTGGCTGGATCAACATCATGAGTAGAACGTAGACGCAAGCAAGAGAACTGGAGACAATCTAGCTGTGTAATATATAGGGCCGGGTCAATAGTCCCCTCAAAACAAGCCGAGGTTCAGGAAATCGTCCACCTCATCCACAGATTAGAGACTAACTAGGGATGCGTGATCCTCGTTAGTAATCCATTTCTCCAAATTGGAGAAGGGACACGCCCTACCTGTCAAAGGCGAGATTATTTCACTGTGCATTGAGAGTACTCCTTTCTGACTATTGATGCAGTTAACACTGATTTTATCATTTATTGTGGAACATCACCAACGGCCAATAAGTTGGCAATGGGGCTTGGTAGGAAGACCAAGTATGCTCAGGTAATGCCTCAGATGGAATTCGCCAGTAATTCCTGACAAGACGTTCATCAGGAAATTACAGTCCATAGATCCGACAGGTACCCTGGATAACATGTGTTAAAGTTCGCTAGCCCGATCAGAAACAGGGAACAGGCCAGGAAAAGCATGGATCTTGTCGATGTATGGAACTATTAATTCTGCTTAACTCGAAGGACGTGGCGCGTTTTTAGGGTTTATCGAGTATCTATCCTTGAAGAAAGACGTAGACAGTCTTAGCTCGAGTAAGTTGGTTGCACGCTGAGTGTCATGACACTATTACAGTATAGCAAGTCCTGAGAAACATCCTTCTCCCTGGGTTACCACCGTCTTCTTCGTGCCGTTTACCAGATACACACATCCACCCAAGTCGGTGACATAAACCCCATATTTCGTCAGCTTCAATCCAATAGGCTCATGGAACTGTCTGGCGAGTATTTCGACCTTCTCTCCTATTGTCTCTTTATTAATATCGCCACTAATATCAACCCGATTCAGGGAGCACCCCATAGGATGCTCACCGCGATCCGTCCAGTAGAGCATTTGTGTCTGCATATCGTACTCCAAATCAATCGGTTCTGGGCATCCCTCTAGCAGACACTCTACATCAGCTCTGTTGTTGGCTGTTTGCCCAGCAGGAATGTCGATCCCCGCACGGAATATTCTCCCCTTTCCGGACTTGCTCGGCCCTTTCTGGGTCCAGTAGATATGCCTATTCTTCCGATCAAGGGCCACACCCACGCAAAACCGCATCATATCTTTTCTTTCTGATGGGACTTTCAACGTCCCAGTTTGAATCAGTATCTGATGATCAGTTCCATCAAAATTGCACCGGTGCACACTCATTCCCTCGCGATCGCAGAAATACAATTTACGATCCACATCGTCGACAATGAGCTGTTTGGGTGTATAAACCGTTCCAGGCTTCAGGAGCGTGTGAACATCACTCCCATCGAGCTTAGCCGACTGCACAGACCCGTCACAGGCAGAGAGGGCGTGTCCCATGCTCGTCCAGAACATCCGCCCACAAGAAGGAGAAACATCAATTCCATCTGGCAAAGACAATCCACTGACAAGGGTAGTTCTTTTTCCACTCTTCGGGGAAACTGCGAGAATACGACCTGCTGTCCTCGCATCACGCAGTGCGTTATTATCCCCGATACCAACATCCAAGACATAAAGCTTCTCAGACATGCTGTCCTGCTCGGCGGGATACAACCCACCGGACTCGCACTTGTCACCCAATCGCCCTTTGTTGATATAGTTCTCACGTAACCAATCAACCGAATTGTCCCCATCCAGCCCCCTTTCCTGGATGTAGTTCTCCTCGATAGCTGCAACAGTATCCAAGCCAACCTGATCCATCAGCTGACACGGCTGGCCACTCGTTGGGCGTTGAAAAACTTCCTTCCATAGTAGGTCAATGTCATCGGGGGTGCTAACTCCTTCAGCCAGAATACTCAGGATCTCTCGCTTGATGGCCGCCCAAGCACGGCCAAATACAAACCTGCATCATGATCAGCATCGATACCCCAAAGCTAAAAAGAGAATGAAACATACCCTGTACTTTCCCTCCGCACCATAAACGGACACATCCCACAATTCTCCAACACCTCCATCATTCCAGCCATCACCTCCTCTTCAGTCGAACCACAGGTCATCACCTCTACTGGTCGCATCTCCGGCGGCATCATGAAATGTACATTCATCACTCTCTTCTTCCTCTCCTCACTCAAGCCAGGAACCATAAGCCTTGATTTGAAGGAACTTGAATTCGACGCGAGAATACAATCCCCAGGCACGTATCTATCCACTTCCTCAAAGGACTGAATCTTGAGAGGGAGCTGTTCTGGAGTTGCCTCGATGACTAGCCATGCATTCTCAACCGCATTCTTCAACTCAGAGAAGAGAGATAGCCTTCCCCGCTCAGGATGCGGTAAAGGCGTCAGTACAGTGAATGCCTCGCCAGAGGATTTGATAAATGACTCCGCAGCGGAGAGAGCATTGTGATCAGGATCAAAAAGATGCACGGTGTAAGAGCCAGCGAGAAAGACGGCCGCGATCCGACGACCTAGAATACCCGCCCCGAGGACAGTAACTGGTCTTGAGGGGTGGTGTGTGTGGGCTTTGTGGAGCGTCATGGTGAGTTATGTCTGTAGATGCCAGTTGACGTTGGAAGCACTTCACTTCTAGCTAAGCTAGTGATAATATGTACTCATGTATATTGATTATATTCCAGATATCTTGCTACATAAAGTAGTAGAAGACGATAATAAACTTCGTTAGTGCCCTGCATATCCTGGTTTTCGGCATGCCGATAACCGGTTCTTGAAGCCTTGGAACCCCCCCACCCCCGCGCCGAAACGGGCGCGGAGAGGGAAGCAGCGCAAATCCTGGGACTTTAGAGCTGGAGTTGAATTACTTGAATGCTGATCGGACAAAGTTTCACTTTAATCGTTCTGGTAGTTGCTTTCCTGGACGTAGAAATATCGATGTCATCATCGTGAACTCTGTTCTAAAAACTCTGAAAATGTCAGTCGATGGATGGCAAGGGGGTGAGAGGATACAATAAGTTTGAGATCTTCGGTTGATGCTTCCTTGTGCCATGCTGTTGCTATACTTCATCAAGAAAGAGACGCTGTGCCTGGTTTTTCAGTATTGTTTTGTGGTAGAATCATACAAGAGATTATAATTGATCTGGGATGGTGGTTGGGACTTGTTCATCGTCACGACGCCATGGCCGAAGGAAAAGCGTACTGGGCCCTACTACTATATTTATCTACGAACAAATCCTATATTACGTGATAGGATCTCCTTCCTTGTCTTTTTTCATATGTGCTACGTAGCCGTACTACCTTCAGAAGAAAGCTAATACTTTCTGATCAGGGTGTTCTGCTGGGGTCCTTATTGATAAATAAAAACAGAGCTACAGAATAACCATGTATCCAATCCTTGTATACTGTATAGCTATAGTAAAGAGCGTATCAATTTGTTTGTTCATAATGCATAACTCATATCCATCTCATAAGGAAATAAAGGGCAGCATGCACCCACGCTTATACTCATCACCAACATAATCTACACCCCCAACTGACTCGCCACAACAGGATCATTCCAAAACGCGCACCTCTTCACCAAATCCTCACCATACGCACCCCCCTTACCACTCCCAGTGAATCTCATCTTCGGACCACCCAAGACCTGCAACTCCGGCGTAGTGGAACTAGTATTCGCCGCATACGCCTGCTCCCATCCCTTAACACTACCCCTAGCACGGCTCGGATTGCCATAGTACGCAAACGAAGCCCAGCTAGCACCCATCTCCGACGCAAGCTTCCGGTCCGATGCCGTAGAGATATCCTTGAACAAACCACCCGTAACTGAGTTAAACAGATACATAATATCACTGAAGTGCGGAACACCGTAATACGTCATGCCCGAGGACTCAAGCACCTCCGCAAAGGCCGTTTGGTTAAGTGCGTAGAGGTAGTTCGAGACATTGGCGGGGTTAGTGGCGTACTTAATGTTCGTCTGGATGGTCAGGAGACTGGGACAGGTGAAGTCAAAATCGCGATGCATCTGGCTAGCGCGGAAGTAATGCGCGGAAATGTTTGCGGATGGGTCCGGGGAGAAGTCTGAAACGGGGTAGAGGTCCAGCGCTCTGGCGATGGTAGCATTGGAGAGGTTGGGGTAGCTGTCCTGGAGGGAGGCGGCGATGTCGGATGAGGAGCTTAGAGTAGTGGAAGTGAAAAAAGCGCCGTCGTTTTCGCACCATCCGGAGATGAGGTCGATGTTGCGGGCGAATTGGCCGGTTTGGAGGAGCTTAGAGGGGGCATCAGGGATGAACGATGAGGGGGCTGTGGGGATGAAGACGCCCATGCCGCCCATTGAGTTGAGGGAGAGTTCGTAGGAGTAAGCCGTGTTGAGGAGGGTCTTCATTGGGAGACGACGCAGGCATTCCAACTCCTCTCTGCTGGAGGACGCGGTGCAGTTGACCAGGTTGGTTAGGGTGGCTGTGTGCTTGCTTGAGGTGTTGGTGGTAGTTCCGGGGTCGGCGTTGGCGCCGCCTGATTCCATGATTGCGCGATGGAAGGGCACTTTGGGCACTTTGCCGCCATAGGCTGTTAGTTGCAGGCCGACGCCTGTTGCGCCGTCGCTTTCGCCGAAGATGGTGACCTGGTCTGGGTCGCCGCCGAAGGCGGCAATGTTGTCTTGGACCCACCATAGGGCCAAGCGCTGGTCCAGCAGACCAGCGTTCAGGGAGTCAGAGTCGTTTAACGCAGGTGATGAGGCAAATCCGAAGATGCCGAGACGGTAGTTCATCGCAACGTAGATCACGGGGGCATCCTTTTGGGCGGCTCCGTAGACCAGGAGGCTTGGATCATAGGCAGAGTCGTAGATTTGGCCGATGGTGTCGCCGCCGCCGTAGATCCAGACGAGAACTGGTAGGCGGTCTGAGGGAGACGTTTTGAGTGGCCGGTCGACACGCAGTGTCAGACAGTCCTCAGAGATGGAGGTGACATTGTCAAAGATCGGAAAGTCTGCAATAGGGTCCTTTTGCTGGGGACAAGCTGCACCGGAATGAGTGGCATTCACCACAGAGCCGGAGGGATAGTTGTAAGGTTTCGGGTGAGCAAAACGGTTGCTCCCGCTCGTGTCTTCACCAAAGCGGATGTTGAGGAAAGATTCGGTCAAATTGCTCGACGTCCCCTTGAACGAGACGTTGGAATCAGGGAGATGCACTGTAGGGATTGTGCTCGAGAACAAAGGGTGGGCAAGGCCCAATGTACATGGTGCTCCGAAAAGAAGAGAGAAAAGAGAGAAATGCATTGTTGGAGGTAAGTCTGGGTTGAGACAAGAATCCCCTTCTTGCGGAATTTGAGGCCCTTATATGCAATGAAATGCTCAGCCTCGTGGCAGGGAATTGATGTTGTCAGGGTATGAGGCAGTGAGACCTGGCCGGTCATGATTGGCTGGACGTCAGGATTTCCCCATCGAGAAGGCATCGCGAAGATCTCATCGTAATGCTAGGCTCTTCTCTGAGCTGGTTAAGATCTTGGTATCAGCACTAGTGTGTTCTTTCCATCGAAAAGCTGCGATCGGGACGCTGTGCCTCACCCCGCGATGCTTCTCCGGCTGGAATGCAATGCGGTCTGACTCAGCCTCATTATCAAAATTGTCTGCGTTTCTGCCTGACCCATTGCTATGGGTCATCAATGAGTAGGCTACAACCAAAGAAAGATATCTGTTCCCATCTTTCTTTTTTAATGAACTAGTAATACATGTCGGCGCACTAACCGCTATACCAAAAACGATATATCGCGTCCTAGTCAGACTAGCGACGGAGAGATTACTGTCCCAACACGGCCCCCTCGAACCGGAGCTATCATAGCTCCACGTTCTGGTTAGGCACCTCCTCGAACTGGATAGACTGCATGGGAAAAGCAAGCCAGGTTAACCACGCCTGGTCTCGAACCCGAAGTCTCCAGATCTGGTTAAGGCATCACGTGCTGGTAAGAACTGACTGGGCTCATAACCTGTCGGCGCACTAACTGCTAGACCAAAAACGATATATCGCGTCTAGTCAGACTAGCGACGGAGAGATTACTGTCCCAACAATACATCTATTTTGGGTGAAATCAAAAGACGTAAAAGGGATGAAGGTGATCATGGCACAAAATGATGACCCCTGGGTGTATAGCGAGTCAGGCCATATCGCGAACCTTACCAATGACGACGGCCTTGATTCATTTGCAGTCGGATAAGTACGCCATAGTACCTCTGGTCATTATTTAGATCTGATGTTTGCTGGAATAACTTGGAACGCCGGATGTATTATAAGGACGGGTATCTCATTGATTTCCCACGACTTTTCAACAAGTTTGAATATGAGGAATGCATACAGAAAGCTGATATATCTCACAAATTGCTGAGAAAATCATAATCTACAATATCAAGTGCACACAGTATCTCGCTTGCCGCAACTGAATCTCGGGAGTACTCTATGAATTCTACGTGGGATGAATGTAAGGATGGAAAACCTGCAAATGATTCAGTGCTGCGCATGAACAGTATATTGCTCATTCATTATTTTGTCTACATGTTTCAGCTGGTAGTTACTTCTACCCCAAATTGTATCCAGATTTATATTAACTGTTACTGTCTTCAAAAGCATGATCTTGAAAGTCCACATCGAGTTTAAGAAAATTCTTTGCAGTTCTGATTAGCTGTGAAGGCACCGAAAAGACAGCACACATCTTTCAACCTCAATTCTGTACAAATCCACAACTATAAAAGCAGATTATATTCTTAGAGCTTCGTTCCTATACTGTGCAAGGAAGCGAGGACTTCCCTACCGAGCAGCATATGACTCGACCAAAAAAATCTCGAGCACAGGAACCAGTTCGCTTCATATTCCTCGATAACTGAGATTGTAACAGATCGTAAGAGAAGTTACATGTTAGGTGGAGACGCAACCCTGGTGCGAGTGTATATACTTCTAGATTACCCGCGATAATGTCTCGTATGGTCTCATAAATCCAACCCTAATTGTGGTCTACAAGACTCAATGTAATCCTGGTGATATATTTGCACTTCATATGTACTCCTATGATGATGGAGCAAGGCCGCTCGCACTTTGTAGTCAGCTTTACGAGGGCTGCCAGGCGTAATACAGGTCCTTGCAAAATGCTTCACGATAAGCGCCGCAATGTATACAGACTCACTCACATCTGATATACACTTCCAACTGATGAATTCAGATGGAATAGAGAATAGCAGTACTACTACTACCCATATCTTAAGGTTTTTTGAATATGGAAAACGCACAAAAACATACAACAGAAGGGATTCGCTGGTGGTCACCCACCCAACTACTAACCTCCCGGCGTGTGGCTTAAGTACGGCTGAGCGGACGGGAAG